TCTGCAGCAGCATGAGGCCCCGGGCTGGGCTGCCGGCGGCTGGGGATCTGCGTCGGATCTGGGCCTCGGCCAAGGGTGAGATCCTGCCTGCGCCGGAGTGAATGGTTAGCGGGCGGCTGGATTTCGCTCTCTCTCTCTCGCCAGCCGTGCTAAGATTCCTGTTCACGCAATTGCCACATGTACAGTAGTCGTCCCACCTGCAATGGAAATGAGTTGGTCGCAATGTTTTCCACGCCTGTTTACGCTGCTAACACCCGTCGGTGACCCAACGGCCCGTGAAAACCTTGTGGTTTGATGGACCTTGGTTTGCTGAAGGAGAGCACTCAGGTGTGCTCGCAGGGACTTCACGGGTTACAGCCGTGGACCCTGACGGTCCGCCCAGACAGCTGGGTAAAACCTTGGTGCTGCTCAAAGTCAGTAACTTTGCCACTGTCTTTAATGTGTCGTTGTACAAGCTAGCTTTGCATTTGGGATGTGCAAGCCTACTTTGTGTTTGGTAAGGCTGATTTCTTTGGTACGTATACAGTCAGGAGCGGCAAAAGGGTTTATACTCTCTTAAAGAGTGAATAAAAAAATCAGATTCTGGACACGGCACCTGACACTGAGAGGAAATGATAATTCAGTAGAGAGTTAGAGCCTTAAGCCACGGTCACTTAAATCTGGCATGTATTTTTGTGACTGTTGAAAAGGGCGGTCCCACACCCCCCCCAGCCACGCGCTCCTCCTGCCTCCTTTCTGCTGCCACAGGCGCTCGTGTCGCTTTGCGTCTGAGAGAACAGATCCACTGAAAACTCATCTTTGTCGAGGGTTTTTTTTTTCCCTAAGATTTATGTCAAATTAAAATGGCTGCGTAATAATGGTCTTATCCTGCTGTTTTGGGATATATTATCTGTTGACTCTGTGTGGTTGCTCCTTGGTTCACTACCAATGATTAACGGTTGCATTCATCACATCTATAAAATTAAGTGCTTTTTTTAGAATTGTTCCAAAAAACTTGGCAGTCGTCACTTAAGCCAAATAGTGTTGCAGGAACTTCTCGCTCTTTATGATCTTTGACAGCACCCTTGTAAAGAGTGTGCCTATAAAAAATAAAGAACATTTTAAATGGTTTCTTTTGAATATTAAATTGAAAAAAGTCAAGAAATCAAGGCCTAGATCCATAAGGATATTTGACTAAAACCTGTATGATAAATGGCACCCGAACGTCTGAGGACCTGGATGTAACTGCCTATTTTTAGATAATATTCCTGTAGCATTGATAAATATTCAAGTCGTCATAAGGCAGACAGCTGGGTAAGAATTAGTGACAGGTATGCATTGTATTTATTAGATAATTTGTTCTAAGGTGCTTGCGCGATTCCCTGTTACTATTTCCCAAACTAAAACATCAGTCAGTCTCTGACATCTCTCTGGAGCATCTTGGCCATCTGTCTCTGCTAAATTCCTGACTAAAGCAGGTGATCCTTCAGGTTCGGGGGCACACAGGCCCCCGGGAGGGAATGGGTGCTGGATCTGGTCAGCGCAAGCCTCCAGGGCAGGAAAATCCAGGGGTGTGAAGACGTATCTGCAGGGCGCTCAGCAAGGCCAAGAAGGGGCCAGGAGCCAAAGCCCGATGTGGGAGGGAAGAGCAGTGCAGAGCCTTCTGCGAAGGGGCAGGAGGGGTGGCCCAGCTCCCAGCACAGCAGCATCCGCAGCATCACACACTGCTGTAGCAGTAATTATAATTCCTCTTCTAGCCCTCTTCCGGATGAGACTGAACGGCCTCACAAACCTAATAGCTGTCCCGTTGAACGACAGAAGCATAGGTACCCTTTCTGCTGCTTATACATCTGTGGGCTGTTGTATCCCGTGGTGGGAAAAAGGAATGGTTGCCAATAAATGTTTATTAATGTAAAATGTAAATATTAACAGTAGTTAAGGGAGCCTTTTTGTTTCACTGTTACTTAATTTAACTGTTATTGCTGATGTGTTTTTTTTATATCACTACATCCTGCCTACCAAAACGGTCAGAGTTAATCCTGGGTTTTGTCATGTCTTGAAGTCTGATAGATAAAAATGGATGCTTATCTCCTGTCAAGCTCCTTAGAGAGCTATGAGGAAATGAGTAATAAAAGGCTCTTTCAGGCTCTTTTAAGTTTACTTTGTTATCTATTAGACCCACCAATATGTGGAAAGCAACAGAGAAATTTTACATGTTTATAGTTACAAAAGCCTTAACCATAACTGAGACCAGCCATAGTTGTGAGCTGAACACTTACAGAATTTTGAAATGTTTTTATAAATGTAACGTTGAATCATTTTGACATTTGAGAGCGGAAAGGACTGAGCCGAGGGCACCGTTGCCCTCAGCATCCCTAGGCTCTCAGGGCTGCGAACACCTCCCTCCCCACACAGCGACAGTAGGACCTAGCAAATGGCTCCACATTTCCTTATCCTGGAGGGAGACGGATCTGGAATTTACAAAAAGTCAGCCCTTAGGGACCGCTGGCGAAACGCCGGCAGTGGAGAGAGCCTTCTGCCACCCAGGGGGCCTGGGCTCTTTCGGCTCCTCTCTCTCCTATTCCTCACCGGTCTTTTGATGCAATTTGAGGACATGTACTGTCTTCTGTGTCTTGTTGTCCTCTCTGCATTTCTCTCTGTTTCTGGCTTGGGTGGACTTTTTGCATCTAATCCTATCCGCCAAAAAACAGTGAAACTAATACGCTATTTGGATCCAGGGCAAAGCATAGCGCAGAGGGACTCTTCTCAGCCCATGCGCATTGCTGATTAATAACACTGTCGGGGCAGGCACTAAAAGAAACAGTTCTAGCAGGTGGACAGGTCAAGCTTTTTGAGTAAGAAACTCACTCTTTGGCATCTGGATCGCTGTTCACACTGCTGCAGTGTCTGTCACATCCACGTTTACACCATTGCACCCAGAGTACGAGTGGCTGGCCCGTCTGGAAAGCTGTTCCTCTGCCGGGGATGTTCCCGGAGGGCCCCCCAATGCCCATTGCTTGATCCAGCATGCAGATTTATCCGTCACACGCTTGCATGTGCCAAAGACGAGTGCCATGCATTGAGATTCCAGTAACTTGAGAAGTTTGAGAATATGCAGCAGTCAAAAAAAAAAACCAACACATAAGCCCTTCAACTTCCAAAAACTGCATTAAGCCAGAAGAGACAATGTTATTTCTGCAGGTCTGTTTTAAATCAACCCAAATATTATCTTGGAGCCAGAGCTATAGTTCAGTAAAACTTGATGCAATCTTGGAAAGCCATAGGAAGCATTAGGAAATACTGCTGGGAGTTGAGACACCTATAGATACTTCAAAAATCTATATTTTAAACTAAATAGACATACCTCTTAAATTCTAAATGAGGAACGCTGCAGAGGATAATGTAAGGTAATCCTTTTCAGGCAAAATCCTTAAGTCTGGGAAGGTGACTGCATACAAAAATGGAACTGTTTTACCAGTACTAGTTGGAGCTGAAACAGGAGATAAATGTATAGGAAAGATACAGTCATACTGCCCCAGAAGTGGCTAAAAGGGTACAGCTTATTTCCATACTTGAGTGATTGTTCCAGCTACCATTAAAGCTGAATCCCAGGATCTTCAGCCCTGCAGGTCAGTGAAGAGTTTGAAGGGGTGAGGTACAAGAGGGTTTTGAAAGTCTCTCCTTCAGGGGCTGCTGCTGCTGTTTGTGTGCATAGGCTCCAAGCAGCAGAGACGAAAATCATTGGTAGCATTTTTGATGGAACGTTACATTTTTGGATTGGCGTTGCTTCCTCTACAATTTTCCTTAAAAGGAACATTGATAGCTACATTCTGTACATTTTACACAAATTTGAACTGAGTTTCACCACACTAAAGCCCTGTTTTGCAGAGGGAAGGTAGCTGGTGCACAAGTTTAATGACTTGACTTGGGTTGCAAAAAGTCTGCTTTAGAGCTAGGAATGTAAGACACCAGAGCCGTTTCCCAGCTCCCCCGCATAAATTGCTGCATTGTGTTTCTGCTTAAATATAAAAGGTTAAAGTATAAAATAATGTGTGAAAACTCTTAAAGTGATACTCTCTTCGTAGCATCTTTCGGAGACTCAAGGTCACTTGTAAGTTAGATAACTTTCTAGTGAATGCGCTGTTTTCATTGAAATATCAGGATGATATTATTGCTTTAGGCTCCGTATTTTCATCATTAAAAACACAGATCTAGACACTACATGTTCCTGACCTTTTTAGCAAGTACTGTAACATTATGATTAGAACCAGAGAAGGCTTAATGTTTTTGAGGAATCAGTGCTGTTGCCTTTCTTCTCCTCCTCAGTTACTTATCACGCTGATATGACTTTTCCTCTGATTTTCACTGACTCTTTTAAGAATTTTTGACAGAAGATGCCTCTGATCCACAAAAATTTTCAATATTTGAATTTGACGTGGTTTTTAAAAACAAAATAGTAGCACATTTAAAGTCAATTGCTGCTCCATACTTTCCAGAGGGGGGAAAAAAAGAACATGCACAGAAAAAGTAGAAAGAACTGCATTTGTAAAGGAATATCTCTTGAAAACCAGCGAGGCATTTTAACCTGTTCGAGGACTGAGGGACTTCATCTTCCATTATATTATTTCCTAGGATTTGGTTCCTTTGAGGTCAATTTGCACTGGTGGAAGTTGTGGCCCTGAATTTAGTGTAGTCACTATTCAAACTTTGTCCTGAGCCTGGAAACATGACCCACATGCTTACTTTAAATACCACAAGTTTTCTGAATGGTTTCTATGAAAGAGTTTAAGTCAAACTAAGGATTGTAGACTGTTTACACTTTGGTATTTCCAAAAAGTTTTATGCAAAATTAACTTGCCAGGCTAATTCTAAAAAGTGTATATTTCTTAAGGGTGCAGAATGAGGCAATATGAAGAGTCCTGGAGTTCATGCAGTCCTAGGTGTTGATAGGACATTAGTGTATATAATCTTACCGAAAAAAGATCAAATGCATAACTTCTGCTGCTTGTTTTTCTCCTCAGGTTTGCCAGTTTGTCGTTTCTGTCAATGGCCTCAATGTTCTCCACGTGGATTACAGGACAGTGAGCAACCTCATCCTGACCGGCCCTCGAACTATAGTGATGGAAGTGATGGAAGAAGTAGAGTCCTGAAAAGAAAAATCTCTTACCGGACATTTAGTGCGAGAAACAGCAAAGAACACGAAGCAGCATGACGCAAGGAGGCAAAAGTTTGCTGCGGCTAAATAGCTGATTTTGCTTTTGGGGAGGGGGGTTCTCTTTCAGTTAACAATAATAGCACTGGTTATTATGCTACGAAGTGGACGATTGATACCAGCATATTTTCACTTAGGACTTTTCTTTGCCTGCTGAAGACGAGGTTGAGGTCTTTCGGTTGTCTATCCAGCCATACCTGCTCCAGTCTGAAGGGTCTCCCAACTACGCATCTGGGCGTCATTTCCTCGCAGTCAGCCACTGGATCAAACACTTCAGGAGAGGAAGGAAACAAATGCGCTGGCTGGTGAGGATGTTGCAGAGGGTTTGCATGGCACATTGATGTTGGTGAACATCCTCCATGAACTTTTTGGATGTCCGGTGTTGCCCCAGGGAACATGTGCTGTTGCAGTTGCTTTCTCCTTGGGCTAAGCGAAAGTTGACTGAACGCAGCCTGTATTGCGATCAAATACAAATGACCTGTGAATGCATCTGCATTTTAAAAACGTGCTCATTTTTTGCAGAAGATACTCTGATATGAATGATTGGGCCTGATTGATAGAATACAGAGATTATCCTAGAAAGAAAAACTGCAAACCATGCAAATGTTGTAAAAGCATGTGTTACTTTGCCTTTTTTCAAAATTTGGCCTTGGAAAATCAGGCCATTGGTTTAGCTGCCTAAGCACAGATTTAAGCACTCAAGTATGAAATGTTGGTATGTTTTTCTTATGTGTAAAGGACAGGTGTCTCAGTCTTGTTGCTTGTCGGTTTGGAGAGATTCTGGACACCTCCTTTGGTCCTAGGAGAGTTATCATATTTAGAGGGGTGAAGTGGGAATTTCACAGCATTAGCATTAGCAAAGATATATTCAGACGCTCCAGGAGAGAAAGTACACTTCAGATTGAAGCAATGTACTTGAATGTACATTAAACTTGTTAGCACTTTCAAATCATCAGATGTTTTGCAAACTACAGACTTACCACATAAGTTGCAATTGACACTATTACTAATAAAATGTTGTATTTAACTGACTCTTACTCTTTTTTCAAACAGTAGGCTTTCTTTGTTGATGAATTTTTGAAACAAATCTTTTTAAATGTATATACAAAGTCTACATTCTGCTGAGTTAGGTGATTTCTCAGCTTCGTGGTAATTCGACTGCATGGGTTTTCTTTGATCTTTAAACTGAATACATACATCCTTGTCCACAAAATTATAAATATATATTGCAGACTTTCTCTGCTGTCTAAACTTTAAAATTAAAGCTCGACCTTCTCCATGAGCATACCAAAAATCCTTCATTTTGGGGAGTGGGGAAAGTATTTTTTCCCCTCAGATAATTTTGAAATATGTTTTGCATTAAAAATTGTTCTACTACATTGCTCTTGCAGTAAGTTTTTCACTCACTCAGACATTTTAACATATTCCATCAGGGACAGAGTAAGACTTCAAAATCATATGTTCTTGCAGTTCAGCAGGCAGAAGTCCATATATCCTTTGTTTCTAATAGCCATGGTTGATTTTCCACCAAGGAAACGTCTCCTGTTCCACTTACGTGTACCAGTGCAGAGAGGTGGAGAACTGGAACTGCTCTCTTGATCCTAACCAGGCACAGAAGGGCTTGGAAGAGTCTTTTAAACTGTCATTTAGTGCAACGATTGTTTATCTTTGTCGCACCCCCAAAAATGTTTTTTATATATATTACCCATGTCAGATTATATTGTACAGTTCATCTAAAATAAACAGTTTAGCACAAAATGTTATATGCGATTGTAGCCACTGTCAAGGAAATTCACTAAAAAATCAGTAGGAAAAAAACCTTTTTGTCCCAGAAATGTGTTAGTATGCTACAGTTCTTAAGTTCTGTGAATCCAGGAATACTTCCCCAAATACTTCCAGTCTCTCTTCTTGTTTGTGTGGGTTGTTTTAATTGGTTGGTTGCTTTATTCCTTGTTCCTCGTTCAAATATAAATTCTAGGTGTTAGGCTAGGCGAAATATTAAAATGTGAAGGATTTTCTTAGCAAAATGCTAATGATTCTGTGTTACACCACTGTGGATTCTTCTGCCTTACATCTCTTGCCTTAGTTAATATTCTGCTACAAGTTCCCTGTAGCTTACAGATAATTAAGAAACTGGGTCAGAATTTAGCTTAATAATGCATTACAGAGTGCACTTTAGACTTGAGTGAAAAGAGTGAGGTGGGGGGCAGGGAGAAATCTGTGCAGATCATTATATTACAGATTGCATATGGCATTTTCCTTTGCAAGATACATTAGTCTTTATCACAATTTGAGCCCCATTACTTGTCTGCTGTTTAACAGAGGTTTCCATATTGTGTTCTCAACTTGATTTGCAGTCCAGACTGTAATTAATGCTTTCCCTCTACAGTATGACAAAGTTATTTAAGATTATCGGTGCAATGAAACTGTGTATTTTGTAAGAAAGGGTGCATTATGAAATGTATTGTTTCCAATTAAATTGCAATTTGCCTGCCCACAGCGATGCACACGCCAAGAGACATCCCGCAGGAGTCAGTGTCAAACTCCCATGCACTTCAGAGGGCACAGAATTTTGGATATAACAGAGAACCTGGCTCTCTGCAAAGTACCGGGGAAAGGCAAGATTATCGATGGAAGTGTGGAATTTGAAGGCGTAATCCGGAATATCACAGTGTGGACTGGAGCAAGTAACCAGAAAGAAAAAAGATTGTCATCATCAGTAATAGCTTCATTAAAAAGAGACATTTTTGAAGGCTTTCTCTCTCATGTGATCACATTTTTGGTTATTACAGGTCTTGTGAGATCTTTTACTACATTTTAAAGATTTTATAACATATGTTAGGTGCCACTCCTCTGAACCTGTATGTTTGCAAGTCATTTATGGAGCATCTTCAAGCAATATAGTAGTTAAATAAATTTAAGTAGCAGTTAAGCTAATTGGAGCATTAGTTCAATGCCATATTTCTTCCGTCTTATTCATTACAAGTTGTGTAATTTTGATTACCTTTGTCAAGATCAAATACAATGTGTATACTTTTGAACTACAATTTGTTCCACAGCTAGTCCCATTGAAGGTATCTGACTCATTCACAAAATAAAGCATTAATCAACTCCAGGTGTATCAGAATTTGATCATCTGCATTTCAGGGCTCCCTAGAAGCTGAAAGTAAAATTGTCAGCATTGAAAAGACATAGCGGTGTCATAGCAGCATCTGCAACACCAGTGGATCTGTCCTACCACCCTTTTCTATGAAGTTACCTTCTGGATGAGGTTTGGGAGGGAGGAGGAGAAGTCTTGCACTAGGAATTCTTCTCTCAAAATTTCCTTCCTTTGAACGCAAGATTTGTGGTTAACTCCTCATGAATGACTTTGCAGTGCCAGGGAAGTGCCACAATCACTGGTTTAGCTGGCATGGTCTAGCTCTGTGAGAAAATTGCCTGAGCGTAGCTCAGAGGATAACATGGCCCCAGACCAGAATGTAAGTGTATCAGTGCAGGCTGTGTGGTGCCACTCGGCCATAGGGCCAGAGAACGGGCCCCGTAGTAAATTTGATTTACTAGCATAGACATACATAGCCAAAGACAGTATATAAAGGATTAAGGAAAAAAAAAGAATGAGTGACTGACTTCTTTAATTCATCTGCATGGACATCTGCATCTGCATCTGTATGGGTGGAAGTTTTCCCTGTGGATGAAGGCAGAATCATCAGATTACAGGGAACTGCTCTAATAATTTCAGATAAAACTGGGCATTGAATATTAATTATTTTAATGTTAATGCTGCTAAATAAGAATTTTTCTAATTCTAGAGACAGGAAAAGCTGAGGCAATATGATCTGCCCAAATGTTTGCCTAATGCAAGACAGGGAGTGAGAAATCAGTTGCTGCAATTACAAGCATTTTTCCCCTGTGTAATTAAAACTAGACCACTTGAATAAGTGAATAAGCATGTGTATGTCACATGCAAAAATAAAACTAGACCACACCACTCTCCAAAGAAAGCGTGAGAACTTCTAACCTTTTACTATAAAACAGCCACTAAAGATTTCCATAAATCACATTTTTTAAAATTAGTCTTTCTTTATCTGGTGAGTGATATGGCTTGTATTTTTCACTTTATATTTGTTACTTATAAAAGCAAAAACAGTAACTGCCATTGTAGAAATGCCTTTGTGTCCTCACTGTCTAGAAAAAAAAAGCTGAGTGATTTTAAGGCATTAGATACCTCTACAAAATTGTATGTAAATAAATATTTGCACAGTTATTTTTTAAGCTGAGCCATTAATATAAGAGATAATCTAAGAATATCACAGCACTCAGCAATACAATCAATTTAAACCATAAAGGCAGCATTTCTTGTATAGATGTTCAGTCCTTATACTTGTAGTTCCTCAGTAACATTTGAAAATATTCAGTAGGGAGAAGATACAGCCATCTAACTGACTCCTTGAGCACAAGGATGTTTTGCAGTTAAGGCAGCTATACTTTCCTTGTCCGTGGGAGCTGTGAATGCTCATGACCATTGAAACTCAAGTTGCGTAAGCGCACACATACAAATTAAACGCTTAGCTTCAAGAGCAGGCATTCGAAAACAGGCGCTGTATGCTATGTAGCACAAATCATTGTATTGCCTGCTTTATAGTCATGCTGGCATACACACCTAGCTTTCCCATCCTATGTCACTGTAGCTGTCTCTGAATTTACAGTATAATAGATGCCTACTGGCTTTTGTGTCACCTTGTCAAATAATAATTGTCACTTATTTTCAGAATTTGCATGTGATTAGAGCCATGGAAAATTCTTTTCATGTACAACTTCTTGCTTCTTTTCCTAAGGCACTGTTACACAGAGACTTCCACCAAGTAGTTCCTACATTATTGTATGTGGACAGCTAGCGATACGCAGGCTGCTTCAAAGTGGTGTTTACATGCTGCCAGAGCATGGCACCTCCCGTAGCTGGGAAATGCTGCTTTTGCTGAGCGTACCCAAGCAGGCCCAGCTGGGTAACACTGGTGTTAAGGCAAGTCTGAGTCCACTGACTATTTTGCCTCTACCACTGGTTTATGGACGCATTTAATTTTCCTTTCCATTCTTCCATTTCTTTTGCCACGTAGTCAAAATGGTCCTACTTTCTGCCTCCAGCCCTAAACTTGGTTCTTGAAGGTTTTGATGGTCCAGCTTGCTTTGTTATTCCTACTAGTATGGTTTTTGAGTAGCTCTGTCATAACTATTAGCTTTTAATAAATGAGCAGTGCTGGTTTATCATACCTGAGATTTCAGGAAAACAGGTGAACTGGCTGCTGCTTTACTATCAAATGGTAACTCATGTACCAACAAGCAAGGCCTTGAGATAAGAGAACAAAACGTTACCATAAAGATGGAATAACATTCATTTGTGGTGTAAAATACACCACACCTGCACCATTATGTTTGTAACATAGCATGGGCCACAGCTTCCATGGGTTTTCCAGGATTATATGAGAGAAAAGAAGGGGCCTGCAGAGAGTCTGTTCTTCTCCTCCAAGCCTATGGATAAGCTAACACAAACCCTTTGCCCCTCTCCTCAGGCCACAGCTCCTTTGCTGCTGAGGTCCAGGGAGTTATCACATCTGGCTGCAGAACAGCTGTGCAACTGTGGCTCTGGTTAGAATTACGTAAACTCCTGTCTTAACAGCAGAGAGTAAGTGGCTGGAGAATTTAATCATTTCATGATTCAATTAAATCATTGGAATTTATATTTTCCTCTCCAGGTTGTAAAGTATCTTTTATTAAATAGGAAAAGATATTTTTTCTCCCCCTATCCCATGCTTTTCCAAATGCTACCCCCCCCCCCCCAATTTTTCCAGTGAAGCTTGAGATTAAGAGAAATCATACTTTCATGTTTGCATTCAAGTATCACTCAGGGAATAACAGTCTCACCTACACTTGTTTCTTATGCAAAACTCTACTGAGTCTTCCCAAGAAAATTTTATCTGAGTAAAAAACTTCAGTATGGTGCCTATCAGTGCCTATTGCAGCTGGAAAATACCTACTACATACAAAGCATTATTTTTCACATAAGACCAAGCTCACTTGCCTCAAAATTCTCGTTACTGATTTTAAGCTGAAAGCAGAATGAATGTAGAACCGAGAAGATGATCCTATAGGACAAGTGTGGTGATAGGATCTAGAAAGCACTTTTTGTCCTGCTATATTTCTTAATAGCATCATAGAACAGAAAAATGTAGTTTTATGACTAAATTTACAATTTGCATTCTTACTCCTTTCTTCACAATAAGAACAAAGTTGTCGTTTATACATTTGCATTTAAGAACATTCAAACATTGAATACACTAGAGAACACAGTAAAGACGTTAGTTTAGGAAATATTTTATATTCACATTTAAGAAGCTACCCTGACAAAAAGTTATCTTTAAAGAAATAATTTTCATTTCTGTTGTGAAGTAATGATTTTTTTCACATCTTGGATGTCTAAAATCTTGCTTTAAAAATGCACATATATTTATACATATGTACAAACATTGCATGGGTAGACTAAAAATAAATGCACAGACGGTTAAGTGGACTTGACTGAACAACCACTTTGTCAATGGAGTTTAGCTGTGGAGCTAAATTGGGCTCTTCATGTTTATTAGCAAAAATTTAATTAAGTGTGATGTTGAGCAAAGCCTAGGAATTATTAAGTGATTCCACTCAGAGGAAGTGCTTAGTAGCTTGCAGGATCAGGACCTCCGAAATGTCCTAACATACTTGCTTTACGTGCAAAATATTTCTGGAAATAAGATCAAGTTTTCTTAAAACTCATTTAAATATTGAACATGAAACCCACTGTGTTTTATAGGTTTATTTGAAAAGCAAGGAACATGAAAGCGTTTAAGATCCTTAATGTTACATTAACTGGTTACTGTTTTGTTTTTTAAGCACTGTCAGTGTGGCTGCTTTTTCAAGATAACTTACTGTACGCTTTTGTGTGTTACTGGGGCCTGAGGTGTGTTTGTTTTTCCAGAATCAACAAGATCCTACTGAATATTTACAAAATTCAGTAGTTCATTTTCCACTATAGCCCAGCAGCCAAACCATCTATTACAAAATATGCTTAAAAGAATCATTTACAAAGTGGTACTGAGTGACCCTCTTAAATGTTCGATTTTCGTGGTAAAGTATGTATTACGCTTTTAAAATTTAGTTTCATTGTCCCACTATACGTGTATCTATCTGCATGGTTGTGTTATTGTTCACACTTCTACAGAGATTATTCCCTGAGGGTCGCTGACTTGTCCTCCTCACAGCACCATCAGGATTCCATTCCAGAGTCCATTTAAACATAAGCCCACTTGAACTCATCTCCTGGATAGTAACAGTCAATGATTTTCTCTTTTCGTTCAGTCAGGAATTTTATTTGGAAGATGAAGGCACATAAAACATTTTCCTCTTCTCTTATGTTACTTTTGCAAGAAGAGGCAATGCCATCTTTAATGTGCAGAGCTCCAGGAAGCCATATAACACAGGAGTAAAAATCCTTTAATTAAGGTTCACTTGTCCACTTTTTAACAGCTGTTTGATGATTCCTCTTTTTCTATTAGTTATCATGAATAACTCCTAGCAATGGGCTTGTAATTGCAGAGATGACCTTTGGCATGCTGTCTAACGCGGTGCAATTTCTGCCGACCTGCAGATAATCTGAGAAGGCATTGTGGCAGGATGATGGCATCTACTTCTATTTATCTAATTGGAATCTGAACTCAGAGAGCAGGGACTTGGTTCAATTGCATACACATAAATATAGAGCGTTATCTAAGATGCGTTAGGGTATTTTAGACATTCTTATAGGGCTGAGAGAACCTGTGGGAAACCCATGCCCATCGGGATTGCATCTGGAGACTAGGCCCCTGAGGATGTCTTAAATGGAGTAGGATACTTCAAACGGCACTAGACACCTTTG